TGGACACATCTACAAGGGACGGATGGATACACGGTTGCCCAGCATCCTAGGGAAAGATGGTAAGTATCCAGACAGCCTTGAGTTCCTTCCGGGTTCTTGCTGGGGTGACAAAGGACAGTTGTCTATCTCCTGGTATGGGTGTGTCTTGGACCACTGGGCCCCAAGCACTTTCTCTTCCTAAAGCCAGGCGGTTGCTTTCTGGCAGAGAGCAGCCACCAGACCTTGCCCAGTCACCCAGCAGTGGCCCCGTCCTTTCCTGCTGGCCTTCTTACCTCCAACAGCTGAGCCTCCTCGTTGCCACCTTCAGTTCCCTGTAACAGTACAGCCACGCCCTGACGGATTTCTCAAAACTCGGCGAAGGGCGCTTATCTGATTCCAATACCAAGCAATCGGCCAGCCTCCTGAAGGCCCACCTCCAGATCACATCAGAAGTGAATGGCTGGGAGGCAGAGGCAGGCAGATTTCTGAGTTTGAGGCCAGCCTGGTCTACAGAGTGAGTTCCAGGACAGCCAGGGCTGCACAGAGAAACCCTGTCTCGAAAAACTAAAAAAAAAAAAAAAAAAAAAAAAAAAAAAAAAAAAAAAAAGTGGATGGCCGATAACTTCCCATCATGCCTTGTGCCTTCTTTACTTTCCCTTTCTTGAAACACAAATCCAAGCCAGAACTCACTCAGACCCTACACAAGGCTGACATACATTTTCAGGTCCTCAGTGAATCTGGGTGGTTGGGACGGTGGGTGGGCAGACCGATGGGCAGGTAGACATGTAGATGATTGTAGTTTCTTTCTTTCTTTCTTTCTTTTTTTTTTTTTGGTTTTTCGAGACAGGGTTTCTCTGTGTAGCCCTGGCTGTCCTGGAACTCACTCTGTAGACTAGGCTAGCCTCGAACTCTCAAACTCAGAAATCCGCCTGCCTCTACCTCCCAAGTGCTGGGATTAAAGGCATGCGCCACCACCACCCGGCATGAATGTAGTTTCTAAGGGGCATAGCCACAAACTCGGCATGTGGAGGCCCCACCTAGCTGGCTCCTCTTCTCCAAGGGTCCCCCTATAGCTCTCACTGGTGCTCATGCTCCTTACGCCCCTTCAGCCCCAGGAATGGCAAAACACAACAAGGCTAAGCTCCAGCAGCTGCAGCAACTCCAGCAGCTCCAGCAGCTCCAGCAACTCCAGCAGCTCCAGCAGCTCCAGCAGACCCAGCATGCCCGGCCCCACATGCACAGACAGCCAAACATGGGCACCATGGGCACACCACCGTCTCGGCCTCAGAGTGCACAGATGTTAGCTGACAGCAATGCAGGTAGGTTTCTTCCAGGCAGCCTGGACACCATCCCCAAGCCTTTCCTTCTGTCCTGACAGCCCTCCAGCTTTCCTCCTGCCCAGGCTAGCGACAGCAAGGGAGCTCATGAATGAGACAGGAGGGAGAATTGAGAAAACCTGGTTCCTGAATGTTTGCTGTGTGCCAGGTCTGTGAGGTGAACACTGTTGCTGTCCTACTCCGCCCAAGAGGACATGTGGACAGAGATGCACCCAGCTCTCTGGCTCCAGGCCCAAGGGCTTCCCTGCTCAAGCACAGACACTTTAAGAGCCAGGCTACAAGCCCAGGACATGAGCAACCCCTCTTCCCCCACATATCCCCCCCCACATCCATAGCCTGTAGGTATCCCTCTCTGCCTCTAGGCCTGGAAAGCCCCTAGAGTTCCAGGTCTCCCCTAACAAGCTAGATCAGATAAGGGGCTAGGGAACTCTGGGTTCCACCACACAAGGCCTATCTACGGTCCTTGCTAGAATGAGAGGCTAGGACCCACGCTACCGGGTGACTAAAACCAAGCTCTCCCCTCATTGGTCATGGGTGTGTTTGAGTGTAGGGTCAGCTCTCCCCAGAGGCAGGCTGCTTGAGAACAGCCCCACATGGCATTTTGTGAAAGTTTGCAGGAGACCCAAGGATCACAACACATCTGTATATCATCCCACCACCACCACAGCTTTGTACATTAGACCTCTGAGCTCTGTAACATGTTTCCGGTCCCACCCTGCGTTTGAAAGCTCCTGTGGCACAATGTCGTGTGCATGGTACCCACCCATGGTGCCGTACCGTCGAGGTACATCAAGGGCTTCTTGCCAGGCTGTTTAGGTAGTCTTCGTCTCTGCAACAGCCTACACTACACCTACACTGATAGGTAAAGATCAACAGTAGCCCCAGGGACAACGAAGAGAACGGGGGCACTGAGAGGTTGAACAGGGAGTGGCCAAGCTGAAATTCAAGGGTCATCACTGGTAACCAAGGAGAGCAGGCCACAAGGGCATGTTTCTGTGATTTCTACTGGGCCCTTGTTCCTTATCTCGGGCTTTCCGCTTTCTACCTAGAAATGCTTCCCATATGGAAGCCAGAGAGAGTGATGTAGAAACATTTCTGGGCTTGTATAAGCCTCTAAAAGGACAGGAAGCATCAATGAGGCAGGTTCTTCCTGCGACCTTGCAGAGGGGATTGAGGATTAAATGATCCCACCAAAGATCACGGAAGGGCCCTAAGCGTTTGCTCAGGGATGCCCATGAATGCTTTTAACTGTGTGGCCCAGCCTGACAGCCAGGCTAATGGGGTTCGCAACTTGCTTGGGCCTTGAGCAAGCTAGAGTGAACCCTAGTGAGTGTCAGGGGTGGGGGGGAGAGCAGACAGAGCAAGCTGAGCCCCTCCTGTCTTGTAGTTCCTTCAGGGCAAAAGAAAGACCGACCAGTCTCCTCTGAGGGGCGTCTTCTGCAGTCGAACATGAGTCACTCATCCATCCCCACAGACATGGCGAGTCTGCAGGCTACCCAATCGGGGCTGAATATGCACATAGACGTACCTCCTGGGGAGGGGCTGGAGGAGCCCACCCGGGGACCACGGTCCACCACGGCTCACTGAACAGAGACGCAAATAAACATTTTTAAAAAGGAGTTGGGTACCAAGGGATCTCGCTGATGCCCTGTCTCAAGAACAGGCTGTGTTGGTTGAGCAGCTCTGGGCTTCTAGGCCTCCTCATCTGACGGGCAGAATATTCCCTGGACAGCAGGTCTGGTTTATGGTTGGAGTGCTAGGACTTATGCTCCATGGAGCTGCTGAGCGGATGCACGTGCTCGGGGGGGCCGCCCGGCAGGGGGGGGCACTGGGGGCAAGAATAGCTGGGGAAGATTTCAGACCTGGTTCTGGGAGCCTAGGGACGGGGTGGGCCTGGTCAAATCAATGGTCATCTGACAGTGCTGACAGTCCCAAGAGCTGCTCTGGGACACTCTGGGATCCATGGGGTCTGTACATCAGTTCTACGTGGAGGCGAGGGGCCGCTGCCACCTGCTCCCTGGTTGCGGGCTTGAAGTAGCTCCTGTTTGGCACAGGGCTCCCGGCACAAACACACTGCCAGAAGGTTCAATCAGTCATGTCCTGCAGTCCCCTTGAATAGGGTTGCTACAAATGGCAGCTTCTGAGGCAGCCTTTGTGGAGGGTCTTGGTACACGGCTGCCTTGGCTAGGCTGGCAAGACAGACAGCAGGGCTCGAAGTCCTAGGAAGCAGATTCCAAGGTCTGTTCCCAACGGTGACTCAGCCCAGTGTGCTCACTCCACACCTCTGGTCACTTTCTGTCCAGGATTCTTTGGGTTCAGGGTCTGGGCAGTTGAGAGTTCCCAGTACCACTGCTACCTAGCTCCATCTTAAGCTAGGGCCTCCAGACAGACTTTAGGGTTCTGACCCAACTTGGGTTCCAAGAAATCCTGAATCACACGACTCAAGGCCAGCCTGAGCTATGCAGCAAGAACTTGTCTCAAAATAAAGCAGTTTCTATTCCCACCTCAGATTGAGGTGTGCGGAGTGGGAGAGGGGGCAACACCTACACCAGTTTCCATCACCCCCTCTCACATGGTAAAGCATCTGGGGCAAGATGTTCAGCTTGAGGTGTGAGAAAGGGGGCGACAAAAATCACACAGGAAAGTGCAGCAGGAAACAGCCAAGAAGCAGGTTTCTCACTGTAGGCGAAAGGCTTGGCCAGGGGTGCCCTGGGGTGGAGGCTGCCCCTAAAGAATGTTCCTCTTCCTCTTCTCAGTCTCTGGTGTTCATACTTGTGACTGGATGGAAATAACCTGAGACCTCCTGTAGGCATCCCTAGACTACTGAGCTTTCCTCTGTCTTCCACGCTGGTCCTTCCCTGGCAGGGCCGTGTCAGGTCGGCTACGGCTCCCTGGTCTACAAGTTGGCCTCACATGGAGTCACAACAAACTCCCCTCGCCCAGGACCCACTTCCCTAAGTTAGATGGGTCAGCCTCCACCATCCCATACCTGGGCACAGCTGCTCCACCCTTTTTGCAAGCTGGTACTTCTGAATGGACCCTGGCCCAGGTCCTGGCAGCCCCTGCCTGGCCGCCCACACACCTGCTAGGGACTTTCCCTTCCAACCTGGGAAAGCGCAGGTGGGCAGGAGCAGGGGTGAGTCTGGGAGGAGGCCCAGGGGTTTGGAACTAGGAAACAAAACCGAAAGGACAAACCCAGCTCCCAAGTCGGGCCATGTGTCACATACAACAGAGGGTAGTGGGGCCCACTACTCCGAGGCAGGGGTGAGGCCTGGCTGCGGCCTGAAAGTTTCATTTCACTTTGGCTCCCATCCCCCCATTCGGCTGTCTTAACTCCTCAGTGGAGGGGCAGGAAGGGTTTAGGTCCACAGGAGCCGTGTCAGGAAGGGCTCCAGGAGCAACTCTCTGCTGATGGGTCACCAACTCCAGCTGGAAGCTAAGAGGCTCTGGCTCAGAAACTGCCACCACCACCAAGGCCCCTTAAGGAATCCAGTCTTAGTGGCTTCCAGGCTGAGTTAAGAAGGTACAGAACCAGGTCAGGATCTGGCCCTGCCTTCACCATCATTTAACACACTGGCAATGCATCCTCACTAGGAAATGCCACAGCCAAATGACAATGTCCTGCCCCAGCCAGGGACCCCACTGACCTTCCCCACCAAAGCAAACAAAAGCACCACAAACCAAGAAAGTTAGAAAAGTCGTTTTTAAATTAAAATTGCACCCCAGTGCGACGATTTTAATTTGGGAACTCAATCCAAAGGCAGTATCTCCTGGGTGGCGGTCCTCTGACCGTGGACACACACACAGAACAGCAAGGGATGGGACAGTATGCACTCATCAGAGGGCAGCCAAGTCTTCAGCTCTGCACACCTAGCTGGTGATCGGGTGACAGGTTTCAGAGTCAACAAGAGGCGCCACCAGCAGAGATGACAACTGTCTACCAGTAATGGGGCAGAAAAGTCCATGATTCCGAGGACCCTTCTGGGACCACCTCCCTTGGGGGTGGGGCTTCCTAGTGGCTGGTGTGCTTCTCATGGGGCAGCACCCGCTCGCAGGATCCATCTACAAGCACCCCTTTGTTCCCCTTTGGGCAGAGAAAGAGGTGCTGACAAGGAAGGACTGTGAGCATCGCCTCTGACAGGAACACGTGTGCAGCCCCCACTCTCACAAACATCAGCTAAATTTATATTCATATATATTATAGTTATATATTAAAAAGAGGAAAAAAAACTTTCCCAAAGAGACTCTCCTGAAGAACCCAAGTGGCTCAGGATGGTTACTGTCCCCCACCACAAAACTTCTCTTATAAAATCTTCCAGTGCGATCTTGAAGAAATCCCCCCGCCCTCTTGCCTTCCCCCCTCCCGGCCCTCTTCTGTGTCCCCACAACCCTGGACTGCCCCCCGCTCCAGCCCAGTGGCGTCCAGTCTCATCTCTGGCCATCCATGGCTGTCATGGCTTTCTGAGGGGCAGCCCCCTGTGATGCTCCGGGGGGCCACGTGGGCTGTGGGCAGTGGAGATGGAAGGTGTTGGGGGAAGAGGGCGGGATCCAGGGCACCTGGTGGTTGGGTGGGGATGCGGCCCAGAAGGGGCTGAAGTTTGCAGGGGGGGAGCAGGCTACAGCTGTCATGGGGCTGCTGCCGCTCTGTAGGCCCTCAGAAGTTCGAAGCTTGGAGAACATGGCCAGCGCATCTGGGAAGTTGGGTGGTGTTGCAGGGGTGTTGCTGGGAGTACACATCTGCAGGAAGAGGAGAGAAGAGTCGGTGAGGCAGCAGGGCAGGAGCCTTTGATCCTTTAATAGGATCCAAACACTCATCTTCCCCAGAACCAGTGAAGGACAAGGAAGAGCAACAGCCAAGCGTGCTACCCAGGGCTTGGAAAGGACACCCAGCAAGGGGCAAGAGGTGTCAATGGTTAATTCCAACTCAAAGCTAGGGTGTCATCGTGAAAGGACAAGGGGCAGCCCAGGACACTGCTGCCCAGCTCGATTCCTGGCTTGGGGGAGCCAGCTGGCTTTCTCCACAATCTACCCTTAGATGTCCCCAGGGTGTTAGGCACCAGGGAGCAGGGTCTCCTCCCTGCAGCAGCCATAGAAAAACTGCACTTTCTTAGAGCTTCCATTCATTCTAGAGTTCAGCCAACAGGGCTTGGACCCTGGCCCCTCCACTCGTGATGTTCCATGTGCAGACTGGCTAGCGCAATTACTCTTTCTGTAATATAAAAGAGGAACTGATGCCCAAGGGTCACGTCACGACTAAACATGCACCCAAAGCAGGTACAAACTACAGTTTGACTCTGCGTCATTCCAGGTGTACAGGTCCACGCGCTGAGGCCTGCGCCCAGCTGCAGGCCGGGTTAAGTTCCTCCTCAGGTCTGGGCTCCCAGTACGAACATGCAGCAGCCGTGCCAGCCCCAGATGCCAGCAGCACACTCCTAGGAACAGGTGGGTCAGAGCTCAGGACCTACATGAGCTAGTTCTGACCTCAAAGCCTCTTCTCCCTCAGGAGGCCAGGGAGGCCTTTCAACTTCTCCTAATTTTAGCAGCACTGGCTCCTCCCCAAGGCACAGGCACTGGGGGCGGGGTGCTGAGCCACACAACAGGATGCTACAGCTTTATCTCTCTAGTTAAAGCAAAGCCAGAACCCGGGGCAGGGACCCCCCTCACCCTGCTCACAGGCTGTGCCAATCAGCTCTTAGGGGACTCTGACCATTGTCTGCTCCAAGGCCCTGAAGCAAAGGCCTTTGGCCTCAGGCAGGTCTGGCCCCACCCAGACACTTCCCTCCTCCCCTCATGATTCCCTGCCCACCCCCATGACTTCTCGGCAGCAGGAAACAATGAATGGGGGGTTGCGGTTGTAAGCCAGTTGCATCACAGTGGCCTGACTGACTTCCCCAGTCAACCAAGCAGGAGGCCAGGTCTCTTCTCCAGGGAACAGCCTGGAGGGCTAAAGGGGCCTGTGCCCACCTGCCTGGTGAGCTCAAACAGGTCTCTAGGCCTCTCTGCTTTGGTGAAAGCTCCTTTCCCTAAAGCCCCTCCTACAATCTCAAGTAATTCTGTGCCCCTGTCATGGCCATTTCCCCTCTCCCTACAAATGCCCTTCTTGCCCCTTCCCCTCAAAGAGTGAGGCCCCCTGTCATCTCTGTGACAGCCCTCCAAATGTGGCTGGCAATCTACAGGACAATCGCCTACCAGTTACCACCACTGTATACTGACTTGTCTTCAAATAAAGTATTTATCTGAGACAGGATGCGGCTAGATAGCCCAGGTTGGCCTGGAGTTCACAGCAATCCTGCTGCCTCAGCCTCCCAAGCGCAGGGTTCCAATGTTTTTACTTAAGTTTTCTAATTATTTTGTCTTAGAAACTGGACTGACTCTAAGAACATGGCTGGTTGGTGTTCCCTACTGTGCTGGTGAAGCACCCAGCACAAGTCCCTCATGGGTGCACTGATTATAATGTCTGAGTTACAAAACCAGCTGATTCCCCAAGGGAAGCTTCCAAGGAGAACACACACATACACAGAGACTCAAAGGCACCCCCCCCACACACACACATACATACAGAGACAGACAGACAGAGACACAGACACACACACACAAGGATTTGCAAAGGTGGAGGAGGGAGGGAACTCAGTTCAAGCTGGGGCCTGCCCTCTTCCTTGTTCCAGGCCCTTCATCATGGCTGTGCTTCTGAGTGGTCTTGTGCACAGAAGCCATTGAGCAGGGATGGAAACAGAATACTCCCAGGTCCAGGAAGCTGGAAGTCTGGATGCAGGAGAGGGGTCTCGGGCACGATAAATCCCTCCTGAGTCTCCCAAGAGCTTGTCCACAGTGGCCAGGGTCTACACCCAGCCCATTCATTCTCCCATCTTACTCCAAATGTTAAGACCTAGTTTAAATTGAGGCAGACTCCTTCCCTTCCCCTCCTTGTCTTGGTCAGAAGAAAACAGTGCTAAAAACAAGACACAGCAGAAGACCCCATGTGTAGTCTGTCCCCTGGGGAGAGCCAGGAACAAGGACACCCAAGTTAAAAAAAAAAAAAAAAGCCAAAAATGTCCAACAGCAGATCTCCTAGGGAATAATGTTTTACCATTCCTCTCCTGGGCTCTGGCCCTCCTACATGTTTGGAGCTAATAGCTAACTAGGAGTTGGAGCAGAGAAGAGATGTCCCTGGCCTCAGGAAAGCAGGGTACCCACTGGCCAGAGGGCAAAGGCTCTAGCCGGGGGCCAAGTTGGAAGAAGACAAATCCAGGCTTGAGGAACTGTTTCCTGGACTGTTTCTTAACATACTGAGATTAAAAGAAATTCTTGGCCTGATCTTAGGTATGTAAATCTGTATATCGTCCATAATTGTTATGTTCCCTCGAGGCTTTGGAAGGGTCAGCCTACCTTTGTGGGTAGAGCTGGACTTCCGGAGCCAGGGTGGATTTATCCCTTCCCTGCTTCCTGCAACACTGGGTGGGTGGGTGTGCAGCTGTGTGGCTGTGTCTGTGTATGGCTGTGTGTGCTGCATCAACACACAAATTCCTACCTCAATCGTGTGTTGTGTGTGTGTGTTTGTGTGTTTTGCATCACGACACAAATCCCTCAGTCCCCTCCCCTGAGCTCCCCAAAGGTCTGGTTATCCTCGAGCCCCTTCCCCATCCTCTGCTTCCAGAATCCCAACATCCTGCTGGGAGCCGTCTTTCCTTCCTTCCACCCCCACCTCCCCAACACCAGGGCCCGTACGCCCAGGGCACAGCGCCCGGCGCAGGGCCTCAGGCCCCAATCCAGGAGCCTGGAGGCGGGTCCCAAAGTTGGGCGAGCCAGCGCCGGCCTGGGAGCGCTCTTTCCTGGAAGACATTTTGGCTCTTTGTTTACATTCGCGGCGCGCCGCTCCCCGGCAACATGGCTGTCACCGGCGCGGCTGACAGCGACCCCGCCGCACCGAGCGCCCCCTCCGCGGCACTGGAGGACACTTACCATCTGCGGGTGGTGGTGGCTGTTGGGAATGTTGCTTTCTTGAAAGAACGTGCTTAGGGCGGTCTGCGGACAAACACGGAACGCAGCGGCGTGAGCGAGGCCTGGCCTCCCCGGCCTCCCCGGCGCGGCCCACGCGCCTCCCCCACGCGCCCCCCGGCTCCCACGCGCGCTCCCGGCCCCGGCCCGGTGCACACCTCGAACTGCCAGTGCGCCGCTTGCAGCAGCTGCTGCGCCTGGTCGGCCGCGCAGCCCGCGGCCAGCACGAACTGGTTGATCATGACCTGGTGCCGCAGCTCGTCCGTGTTCACCGACATGGCGCTGGGCAGCCGCCCCAGGCTCGCGCTCACAGCTCCGCCGCCGCCGCCGCCCGGCGAATGTTGTGGTTCGGCTCGCGCGGCCGCGCCGACGCCGCAAACAACAGCGCGGGGCGGAGCCGCCGGGCCCAACGTTCGGGGGCCGCGAGCCGACGCCGCTGATTGGCCCACGCGCAGCCCGGCCAGCCGGCGGCTCCCACACGGACGTTCGATTCGAATCCTGCGGCGGGCCTGGCCGCTCTGTTTCTCTTCTCGCCTGGCCGCGCCCATTGGCGGAGTCGGCGCCGCGGGGGCGCCCCGGCATTGGCCAGCCTCCGTGTTTTGGCACCTCCGGGTTGGTGGTTGGCTGGGACCGGCGTCGGGAGGCGGGGCCTGACGCGCTGATTGGCCTACCGTAGGCCGGTTTGAACTCAACTCGAAAACCCTGAGTGCTCTCTGATTGGTGGAGGTCGCCAGTGTTTGCTGTTGTAGGCGTGGGGGTGGTGCTGGCCAAGTTCATTCATTACTTCATTGAAACTGAACATGCTCAGCTGGAAAAGCAAGACGGTGTGGCTTTGACTCATTTCCTCTGAAAGATGTGGTCATCTCGAGAAACAGAACGATCAAAATAGAAAACACACAGAACCTTCGCAGCTACTCGACTCTCAGGAGTATTTAAACTTTAAATAGCTTCTAAACAGTCTCACTTTAAAAAAAGAAAACTTTTCAAACACGCAGAGTCAGATCCTGGGTTCAATTCTTAACGCCAAAAAAGGAAATACAAAACCAAACCAAAACAAACAAACAACAACAAAAGAACCAGACATAGTGATGCATGGTTTTAATTTCAGGGCTCAGTAGGAGGTAGAGAAGTTCGGATAGCTCTGAGTTCGAGACAAGCCTTGCCTACATAATGAGTTAGTTCCAGGACATCCAGGGTTACATAAAGAAACTCTGTCTCCAAAAAGCCAGACACACACACACACACACACACACACACACACACTCACATGGGGGAGAGGAGAACAGCCAGTGCCAGGGCACGCTTTGCATAATTCAGTCTCGGGCTTTAAAAATCTTGTGCTTAAAGAAAAATGTATCTGGTTTCAGCATGAAGACATTTTCTTTGTCATTATTCCCTGATCAACATGAAACTTACATTCTTGGTTATTAAAGTGATCTGATCTAAAGATGACAAGGTACACAAGATGATGAACTTCGCTGGTAGGAAAATATCACACATTGTAAATAAGAGCCTCACACAAGCCGGGCGGTGGTGGCTCACGCCTTTAATCCCAGCACTTGGGAGCAGAGGCAGGCAGATTTCTGAGTTCGAGGCTAGCCTGGTCTACAGAGTGAGTTCCAGGATGGACAGCCAGGGCTACACAGAGAAACCCTGTCTTGAAGAAACAAAAAACAAAACCTTACGAGGGATGTGCAGACCAGAAGGACAATAAGAAGGAAGCAAGCCCTGTTTCTATTTATTAACCGGTGGAGTCAGGTGCATTGAGAGTCGGTTCCCTTTCCACAGTGTGGGTCTGCAAAACCACACTCGGATTGACAGGCTTGGCAGCAAGCAAGCGCCTTTTCTCACCGAACTACGTAGTCAGCCCTATTTTTATTTTACCTAAAAGGACTAAATTTTCCATTTAAGAGAACGTGCCCATTTTTGAAAAGTATATAGGTGCGAATAAGGTTACAACCGATGTTTGCATACCAATGAAAACGTGGCTGGTCCGCAGCTTGCCTAGCCTACCGGAAGCCCTGGCTGGCTCCCCAGCTCGACAAGAAGATAACAAAAAGCTTTGGGCGCTAGGATGAGTTAATCTTGTTTCTTTTGTCTTCTGTTTTGTTTGTTTGTTTTGAAGGAGCAGAATTACTGTAATTATCTTTGGATACCCCAAAATGCCCACTGGGGCGGGCTGAGGCTTGTGTGGCTGGGAAGTCAAGTTTAGTTATCTCTCCAAAGCCATGTCTCAGGGTCCCCTAAAGTTACCAAAATCTGTTGACACTCCTTTTATGTAGCATAGCATAACATAACATAGCATAGCGTTTGTACGTAACCCCTACACAGCCGCTCGTATATTGGAAACAATCTCTAGAATACCTTATAATACCTAATAGAATGTAAGCACTAATAATTGAACTGCATTGTTCAAGAAATAAGGAGAGGGGGGAAGGCTGTGCATGTTTAAAAAAAAAAAGAAAAAAGTCTGTACAGGCACAATTTCCTGTCCTAATATTGTTTTATCACAGGTTGCTTGAATTCGGAGCTGTGGTCGTGTAGGCTAGGCGGCCCCATACAGCTGCCAGACCTTTTCCCACTCCTCCAAGGTAATTGCAAGGTGAAAGTCCGACGGCACAGCCAGCAGCCTGCGTTTCCAGGGATCTCAGGCCATGAGCTGCCCTAGAACAAGGAAGCACTGTCATTTTGGGCTACAGGTTTTCACAAGTACATACAGGTGTCCAGCGTGCCAGGGCGGTGAGTACAAGGTATACTCTGGGCACAGACATTTTAAGAGAACGTGCCTAGAGCCTCCAGGTCTTCATTAAAAAGTTCCCACGCCCACTATCATGGCAGTACATGAAGTCCTGTAATTCCCAGCATTTGGAAGGCTGAGGCAGGAGAATCAGGAGTTGGAGGCTAGCCTGGGCTATGTAGAGAATTATCCAGCTCTCAAGGAAGATAAAAGGTGAAGAATCTGTTGTTTCCTGGACATTAAGGCAACTAATCCCTAAGATTCAGCTAATGTTTACCGGGTGCAGGACACAGGTGTGGACTGCTGGGACAAGCAGGCAAGCCTCCTAAGCCTGAGGGGCTGGAGCTCAGGTGATCTTCTGTGGGCGAAGGTCATCCCAAGAGGAGGCAGGAAGAGCTCCGGAAATATGCGTGTGATCTGTGGTCCCGACAGGTGGAAGGCCTTAATCAATACTTAGGCTTCTGAGAATCTGGTTGAAGATGAATGACGGAACGGAAGGAGTGCCTGGCTCCCGGGCTCCCGGGGCTCCGGGGTGCTCAGGAGGGTGCTGGGAAGAATGGATGAGGTCATGTTTGCTGAGGACTTTGAGCTGTGGAGATGAAAGCGAATCAAGTGCAAGGTATTATTAACTGAAGGTGTTATTATCTTAATCTGAGAGGACAATACAAGGCCAGTGAAACACTGCAATAAAAACATGCCATTAATAACAAATGAAACACAGTGGTAACCTCAGAGAGAACAAAATCCTTGTTGCGTCGATGGTTGGGGCACAGAGGAATGATAACAGCAGCAAAGAGAAACAACCCTGTGTTGTGCGAGCACAACAAGGTCTGAGAGAGTGACACCGTAGGCGGGTAGTGGCCCTGCGCTAAGCACTTCCCTGGAGCCAGGCACCTCTTATTTTTGTCTGCAGGCCATCCGGGAGGCGGCTAAGGGACCTGGCAGGAAAGAATTCTGCCCAGAACCATGAAGTAGCAAGCGGTGTCACACCCTGCTACATCCATTACTGTGAGTGATCTCCTCAGTGGGGCTCAGAGGGGGCCTCTTCTAAGCAAGTGTTTTCAGAGGCTCTGTGACATCCTCTAGGGAGGCAGTGAGGGTCTGGAAGGGCAGAAGGGTAGGAGCCAGCACCCCAACATTTACCGCATCCACTGCATCCTCAATCTCCAAGCTAAGCCTTTTTGCTTCCACTTCTTTTTGTTTGTTTGTTCGTTGGTTTTTATTATTATTTTACTTTTGGTGTTTTTTTGTTTTGTTTTTTGTTTATTTTGAGACAGGGTCTCCTGTAGCCAGCCTGGCTTTGACATCTCTAAGTAACCAAGACTGACCTTGAACACCTGATCCAGGTGCTGGACTTAGAATCCCACGCCAGCACTGCAGGTTCTTCCTCCTTTCTATGCCCCAGACCCAAGCATCTCTACAAAACTGAGAGAAAGGGAATTTGAGAGTGGCAGGTTCCTGATAAGCCTATGGCTGGGAGAGCGCTCAGAGCCACTGAACTCCTGTACTATATCGATGAACAAGAGTGAACAAGAGCGAGGTTGCATGTATACAGAGATTCCTTCATCCCCGACCTTTCTCTGCCTGCCTGCTTTCCCCTAAAGGTTGCATGCATACAGAGATTCCTTCATCCCTGACCTTCCTCTGCCTGCCTGCTTTCCCCTAATACCTCCCATAAAAAAAAAAAAGATTGCTGGTGGGTTGTTTTTTTTTTTTGGCCAGGTCTTCCTCTGTATTCCTCTGTAGCCCTGCTTGGCCCCAAAACTTCCTGACGTCAAGGCAGAGCTGAGATTTGACTCTACACAGTACTGTCTTCAACCAGAGACTCATTTGCTGGTTTGCTGTGGGCACACAAGTTCTCCATCTGTAGCCCAGGCTGGCAAAAAAAAAAAAAAAAAAAAAAAAAAAAAAAAAAAAAAAAAAAAAAACCACAGGAACCTCTTGTTTCATCCTCTCAAGTTCTCACAAGTGTGCATATTTATTATTTACTTGTTTATTTATTTATTTGAGACAAGGTCTCTCTACCTAGCCCTGGCTGTTCTAGAACTTATTATGTAGACAGGTGTGCATACTCTTCAAATAGCACATTGTACTTTCAAGTCTAGCCGGCCCACTGGAATCTCCTTAGAATCTAGGGCCTAGATAGTGCTGACAAGATAGGAAACACCTTTCATCTGTGTTTTTGAGACAGAAAAGCCAAGGCTGATTCCCCCACAGATGAGTCCACGCTGGTTTATACCAGATTATGTTTTCCACAAACTGTCACATGCCTCACAAAGGACAAAGGCCAGACCACTCCCGGCATAGTTAAAGACACTCCCCCAAAGCAGCACGTTGGTCTGGACACTCTGTGCTGTACCTGGCAGGCAGAAGATAAGGTAACCCCACCTTTGGTTGCTAGGTGTGTCTTAGCAATCTACGGGGGCAGAAAGACAAAGGGAGGATTGAAGAACAGCCTCTGGAGCAGTCTCCTCCTCCTTGGGTAGGTGGGTATGCTTACTTCCTCCTCAGATGAACAATCTCCTTGGAAAAGGAAAGGAGAGGTCAAGAGCTAGCCATTCCGGCTCCCCAGTGATCCTACAGAGAACAGACTGCAGACTGACCCCACTACTAGCTCCTTAGTGGAATCTCCTTATTTAATAGAGAAATATATACTAAAAACAAAAGACCCAAAGCCTGTGTATCACACACACACACCAAACAGTCATCCTTGTACTTTTGGACTGAACACACTTTAAGAAGTCCACAATCAATAC